AGCCACATCGGCCGGATCAGTGTTTGATTGTTTGTTGTGTCTTGTTGCTTTTTTTCTTTTCTCTCTCCTCTATCCACTCACCCCAGCCAGTCGAGGCAGAAGGCCGCACACCAAGAGCCGGGGTCTGTTGGAGGTTTGTTCCATTAAAGTGGGATTTGTTGGGTTTTTCCTCTATAGAGACATGAATCAAAACTTCAAGCTAATTTACATGAACAAGCCTGATGAGCAGTTTTCCTGTCAAAATGACATTAGTAAATAAACAAAAGAGCCATCTGACATTTTTATGAAGTGACAGAAGTGATTTAATTCTCTACACTGAACACAGTGACAAGCCTGTGCTCAGGCCAAGTGAAAATACTCATTTCTTTAGACCCAAGAGCCACTAGTCTCATCGCCACATTCCTCGGCTCACGTGGGTAAAAGGCATTCTCAGTCAACACTCAGGTATGCACGGTGTACCTTTCCAGCCATCTCACTGGCTGTTAACATTCCTTGAGTGCTGAGTTGAAACAACGGCTGTGTGCTGAGTCCCCTGCTCTACACCCACGACTGTGTCCCCGTGCAACAGTCCCACAGAATGTTTCATATGTGTTGGGGGGTGTGTGTGTGTGTGTGTGTATTAGGATGTTTTTAGACAATCAGCATTTATATTTATTTATTTATAGTCTTTTAGGTTTTTAAAACTATTGTAGCTCTTTTATAATTTATGCTCATAAAGACTGCACTTGAAATTTCATTGTACAATGACAAATAAAGATACTCTATTCTAAGATGTCACAATCAAACTTCACACAGCTTGTGTATAGGCAGAAAACACCAGACTCCACACAGAACAAACTTGGATGAAAAGACGGTTGCTTTATTTAAAAATGTACATCAAGAAACACAAGTTGATGAGAAATGACTGACATACACGGTATGTTTAAAACGTTGCTTCCACACAGAGCAATCAGTGCTTTGTGAAACATTCAAATCATCTGTCAGAAGCCGCTGACTAAGTCCGAGTCCGTTGGAGCTGAGCTGGCCGGCAGGTTGTCTTTGACAGGGGACATGGGTTCTTTCTTATAGGGACTCATCTTCTGGGTATCTCTGGAAAACACAACAAGCATGGCTTAGGGCTGGTTTATTAGAAACCCTCTGGCATCACAGCCATATCTTTTCACACCCAGGCTGGATTTGAACTCTATTATTAATAATAACAGTAAGGTCTAGACCTCACTTTGCAAAGCCTCCTAAGACGACTTTTGTTGTGATTTGGTGCTATACAGAGGAGAGCACTGCCTGAGAAAGTCCTGTGATCATCAGGTCATTCGTGTGTACAGGCAGTGGGCCAAAAAGAGAAATGCAGGGCCATCCACTGATTAGTGCATCTACAGTACGCAGTGGGCTGAAATTGGTCTGAACTTTTGCTAAACATGTTTCTACTTCCATAATGTTTCCTGATGTTTACCAGGCAACTTTCCATTGAAACCAGGTCTTCATGTAAACAAAGTGATGAGAATTATATTCAAATATTCCATTGATTTGTGAGCTAGCTTGAGAATTTCTTTTACTTTTTGAAGCTGAAGTTCTTCCACAGGCTGCTGATGGTGGCCTGGACACCAGGGTTGTTCTCATTGGGGGAGGAGCGTTTCTTTCCCGAACCCACAGACCTCTTCCTTAGTCCGCTGGCCCTGGCTGGGCCTAACCTTTGCACCTTTGCTGCTTGACCCTGGCTCTTGGACTTCAGCTTCGATAGACCAGAAACCTACAAGGACAAAGAACATATATAATCGAACGGACTGAAACCCAGGAGAAAATGCACAGTGTTGCACTGCTATGAAAAATGTCTTTAACTTATTTATTTCTAAATAGTGAATTTATCATCTGCTGCCATTCTGGCCAGAAAGTGTGTGTTGCATGAGCTTCACACACTTCATCAAGGAGTCAGTTTCCCATAATCCTACAGCAAAAGGGTTATATAGCTAAAACACATAGGGCCGAAACAAGGAAAAGCAGACGCACACTGTTTGGAAGACAAAAATGAGGACCATAAGATGAATGACTAATGCTAGATAAACAGCCAAGTGATAAACATCACAAGACATGGAGGCAACCTGCGGCAACGAAAACAGAGCAAAGCTTTTCCATCATTTGGAAAGGTAACACGACTGTCCCAGGACACACAAAGCCAAAGTGTGCCACGTCAAACTGCAGCACTAGCAACCAGGCTCACAAACAAGCCTCTTGTGGTGATGTCTGATCAGACCCCAGCAGCAGTCGCTCCTGTTGGCCTATGTTGTCATTACTGAGCTATTCAGTGTTATCAATTATTTTGTGGGACATAAAACTCAATACAACTGGCAGTACAAGGGTGTAATAGCCTATATGTGAAGTGTAACATGTTCATCTTTGGTGATGTTTAGTGGACTACTGCTACTGTTGGTGTCCCAACATTATATCATTTTGATTTTGAGGGAATAGCAATTCATTGGCTCAAATTAAAGAATAGTTTAGACTCATAACACACCTTTATTTGATTTTTTAGGATTCAACCCTAAACTGAATCCACCCCATTTAGAAAAGGCAGGTTGTTTTAGAGCCTTGTCCCTGCTAGTAAGGGTGCTAAGAGAGATCTGAAGCTGTTTCAGATAGCAACAGAGTTCATATTGTGTGATATGCCATGACACCTTGGGCCAGATTCCATGTGATTTGCAAAAATAGCAACTTCATCCATTTAAAATACAGCACAGTAAAGTATAGAGACAACTAGATTTGAATGCTCGCTGAATCCACTGTAAAACATCAACATGAGACAAGGACTAGCAGGTGTGAAATATTAAATTCTGATAAAAAGTTTGGTATATTTTATTAGGAATAGAGATCCACATGACTGCCAAATTATTAGCTCCTTTCTTACTACTGGCCCAGTGACACTTTACTCCAAGCATGCCCTGATCCAGCCACTACTTAAAAAACCAAGGCTGGGTGCTTTTGTTCTTAGTAAACAAGTCAATGTTGCCATTGCTGTCTATGGTCATGGAAAAGGTGGCATGAGTTCCAACTAATGCTCTGCTTCAAGTCCGGTTACACCACAGACTAACCAGGAAAAAAACAACACTGTATTACTGATTCTACTTTATCATTCAGTGAATAATTAAACTGATTAGTGGTGTTTTGCATGAGCTGTGCATCACCTGAAAGTGAACTGGTTGCTGCACTGCTGCAATCCGATGCTCACAGAACGTTGTGTAACACCAGAAGCAGCCTGAGGGCAAACACCCGCCCTTATATGATCAAAGTTAGGACCAAACTGAACTGGGGCATCGGGGCAACAAAGCATGCATGCGAACAGGAAATCAGGAGTCACTTACAGTACATGACTCCTGGTACATGTGGCAGGGAAACCAATCCGTCACAGCCTGCAACGCTACACCACCATCCTGCAACTACAACACAGATTTCCAGCACAAACTCAGTAGTTCTTCTGGGTGGCTTGAGGCTCTGAACAACATGCCTGTGCCTCCCCATGACAAGCAGGTGCTCTGTTTTCACACAGCTGATGTCTGAAGGACTCTGCCCAGGGTCAGTCCGAGGAAAGCCTGTTCCTTCAGAGAATGTGCACCACATACACATGGACGTTTTCAGCGGCTCCCCACAGCTAGGCTGTTGTTCCTTCATGCTTCCATTGCAACTTCTGCTACTTAACAAATATGAAGTATGTTTTATGTATTTGCATATTTTGTCTATATTTTTATCACCATCTCCGTTTCAAACTAATGAATGACATGCTTTGCTGGTGCAAAGTTCAAGGTGTGGGATGGTAGGAGTTTAGTTTATTTCCTTGTCACAGTGGAAAAACGTCACTATCAACACATATCTGATGCAATCAAACGACACTACTGCCCGTGGTGATCACAGCAGTTGGGTGCTTGTGGCTCTGTAGGCAGACAACCCACCCCCACTGTCTGATAGCAAGGACGTTCTGGAAATATTTAGTGCTTAACTTTTTTTTTTTTTTTGGACTTTTATTTGGCCTACACAAACAAGATCCTATTTACATGCAGTATGTACAATATATACACATGCCATAAGTTACTGCCAGGCACAAACTCACCTTTGAGCTCAGTCTTTGAGGTTTCTTATCTTCTGCTGGTGAGCGTGTCAAACTCTCCCCTGACTCTCCATCTTTGCTTGAACTTATTTCCTGAGGAAGCACACAGCAGAAATGTGTAAGAGCACAAAATTACACCCACTCACAAGCCATGAAACGCTGATGGTAATACACATGTGAAAGTTGACCCAGCCACAAGGAATATACAGACATTTACAAAGGCAATGGAGATTTGTATGAACGTACGTGTGCTGCATCTTTCTGGTAGGAGTAAGGAAAGCTGTAGGTGGGGACTTCTTCTTTGTCAAAGGAAATGCGGTAAGGCTGGGACTGAGAGAAATAGGCACTGTCCTGGGACGGAGGGGATTCTGGGAAGTCCTCTGGGCTTCCATCGGAGGAGGAGGCTATGTCTTCAGAGGGCGTGTGGGTCACTGGAGATGAGGAAAGACTTTCTTTCTTATAGTGAAACTGCTGCAGGGTGGCCAGGCCTGAGTGGGGAGTTTCTGATTGTTCAGTGGCAGAACAGCCACCTGACCAATGGAACAGGCTGAGGCCCTGACTGGATGAACTGGGGGGTGCGGTGCTCGGTGACAGAGGTGGGCTGGGAGTGTCCACAGATGGAACATCAGGACCATCACTGTCATTGGTCTGGGTGCTGGGAGAGGGCTCGTCCTGAGTGGAACTCTCAGCTGGGGGCTCCACACCGGGAGGCAAATCCTTTTGAGCAAACTCCTTGGTTGTTGAGCTGGAATCACCAAAAAATCTGCATGAGGGAATAAATTCAACACATTAGGATAATGTACAATGTTAGTATTACTATGACTAAATCTGCTCGACAGTGGTAAAACAAGGTCAGTTTACTTATACAGTACATTTTTATACACAAAGGCAATTCAAAGTACTTAACACAACACACAGAAATAAAACATTTAAATGCCTATAAAGATAAAACAATGCAAATTAGACTGAAACTTAAAAGCACAGTAAAAGTAACATGCCAAAAGGTTTTATTCTATTATCTGTTTTGGCAGATCTTGTGACAGTACTGCCCTTTGTTCAAAGGAATATACACTTACACCCCTTTACTTCTTACACAAGAAGATGAATATCAGGAGAGCCACTGATATTCAGCACAAATACAAATAAAGTTAGTCAGAAAGTGGACAGAGGGATAGCAGCAGTACTTCTGTGCTACATCTCTGACCACGGGGTTTGGTTTTAGTCTCTGTACAGGCACAAAGACACCAAACCTGGCAAGCTCACTGTGGGGACAAGACTTTCAAAAGCAGTGCAGTCACTGCACTCGGTTCTTGTCTGCCAAAAAAATCATTTCAACATGTAACGCCCCCTAAAACCACTAACACATATTCTTTTTTCTACGGGTTAAACAAATGAGTTAACACTTGTTATGTAGCCACATTTACTCCAGTACTTAAAAAGAGAATTCCCTGCCAATCATCTGGTACTATTAAAGGAGTTGCAGCTGTTGGCAGATTAGGTCATGAGTGTAAAACATTTAGCAAACATGCTTTCTTACTAACATACAACAAGGTAGCTAGCTGGTAGGGTTGCAGCGGTATCGCGGTATGCCATGGTATACCATGCACATTTGCTTATTACTGGTATCAGAGAAAAGAAAAAAAAAACGCAATGCATGTGCACAGCTTTCTTCACTGACTTCCTGTCAGACTAGCAACAGGCACCACACGCACACATGTAGCACACAATTGGCAGAGAGGAGGCTGATAGCCTGTCACCAAACTCCATCCACAAAAAGGAAAATTAAGCAGTGTGGGAATACTTTGGATATCCCCAAAACTAATGCCTTCGAGAAGCCCATCCCTCTGTGCAGCATATGTCCCATTTATAACTTTAATCCCAATCAATAAAACATATAAACGTCAGTCATATGTCAAAATAACTTTCCACATTGTTCGTTCGCTAATCTCTGATTTACACAAGGACTCTCTGAGCCCCATCTGACCCCAGAAACACACACACAACCTTTCCCAACTCACATTAGTGTGTCTATGTGAGTGAAGGCACAGACAGAATCTGGTCTGGTTGTGCTGTGGCACACCTACAATAAACTAAGAGCACCGTGATGACATTTCTCCCTGTTGTCTGAAGCTTCACAAACCAATCAATCGATTAATGGAGAAAATAATCGGCAGATTAATCTGTCATGAAGATGATCAATAATTGCACTTGGATAAAAAATAGTTCAGAAGAGCTACACCTCAACCAACTACAACAGCCAAGTCAGGAGTGACAGGCTGTTAATGTTGTGATATAATGTATAGTAGTGTAACATATAGGATGTACAGTATAACACTTTTCTGCACTGAGTAGTCTACTTCAGGATTTTTATATGTACCAGTGTAATAGTAGTACTTTTACTTAAGTAAAGGATGTGAATACTTCCTCTACTACTGGTTCCAAGATGCAAACTAACATGCTTTAGTTATGTTTTTTGAAATCATGTTTATAATCATGTTTATTCTTTAGGGTCTGTCTAGCTCTCCATTCCAGCTCAATCAACTGGTACAGTCACTTGCAATAAAAAAACCCTCTCACTTTCATTCAAGGGTCTTTGTATCTGATAATGGTGTGTAATACTGTGAAACCGTGATATTTTCTGAGACAGATATCATACCATGAAAATCTCATACCGTTGCAGCCTTATCACAGAGCTAGTGTGAGTGAGCAGCTGTAGCATGTGCTGGCTAGCAGGTTAATGTTTAGCTCAACGGCTACAGTATTTCAGCAACTGGCCAGGCATGTAGTCATTATGTTGCCAAGTTGTTAGCACAACCTATTTAAGGACACGAGGCTACACTTTGCTGTGTCACTTTCTAGTGTGACCAGGGCCTTAAGAGATTTTTGCTGAAGCTTTTATTGTTCATACTAGCTGTTCTCTAGCTACATTTTCCCCATTCTTCCACTTCTTACATTAAGGCAGTGTAACCACACACTGGCTAACCCCTAAAGGCAGAGACACACCAAGCCGATATGAAAAGAACTAGCGCCGACAAAGGCCGACTTTATTTGGGCCAGCTGGGCTGAAAAAGTGACACTTGAACACACTGCACAGATTGCAGCCCACGGCCGACTAGCACGTACGTTCTGCATCTGCATGAGGAATAATTCCTCCTACCAGCAGGTGGCGGTGTCCGTATTCACCATTCAGAAAGGGAAAGAAGAGCTAGAACGCAGAAATACAAGCAGTAAACAAAGCAGCTCTTATTCAACACAGCTGCTGTTTACAGCAGCTTCTAATCGAGAATGTGTCTAATAACAAGCTGCAAATGACACTGGCATTGTTCACAAATGGCTGACTGTTGGCTTGGTGTGTCACAGCCCTAAAACTAACCACATCCTGCCTCAATGCACTATCATGAGATTCTTCTCTCACTCTAAGAAAAAATAGAATAAGCTTAGTTCATCAAATCTAAAATTAAAGTTTTAATTTAGTCTAGTTTTGAGTACTCTATCTTTATCCCTATTTATCTCATTTCAACAAACATTCCTTTGTTGTCTGCATTGTTTACTGTCTGTTTATACTGCTTACTCTGCATTGTTTGCACTTTCTGTTGCTGTCAATGCTGCTGTTAATACTGCTATTTTGTTATATTACACAGCCTTATTCTGGTTTACTGCACATTGAGAGCCGATGTACCAGAGTCAAATTCCTTGTGTGTCCAACACACCTGGCCAATAAAGCTGATTCTGATTCTGACTTCTTTGTCTCCACCACACAAATTCATTAAAATATGTGTTCTGTATTAAATTCAAACGTAATCAAACAAATTAAAATGTTAGAAACACATTCAACTATTTTAGAGATTAAAAACTACTAAAGTACTCTGCTGTAAAGTTATGTTTCTCATTAATAATGACTTCAATAACTCAAGCTAACGGTAGTGGTGGGCAGATCGATCTAAAGTATCGATAGTATCGATACCAACCTTGGTATCGATCGATACTTGCGTATCAGTTTGTCTTTTCTACATTGAGTACACAACACCTGTAACACCATAGTGGTTGTGCAAACACCGCTCCTCTAGTGATGGCCGTCCCACACCGATACTCCAAAACCCAAAGCAGCATTTTCCTTGAACTACAAAGCTTGCTTTGATGCGGAAAAAGACGGTAACCAAGTCTGAATCACACGACTAAACCAGTCAATACTGCTTCATAGCGTGAGATGCTTAGTAACGTGAAAAAATATAGTATCTCAATAAAAATCTGTGAATCTCCATCCCACTTACATAATCACACCCTGCCCTAAACTTCTAAGTTTTTTCAGCATACCTGAAATAGTTCAATACCAGTTCATCACCTCAACTGCACATCACTACGCTCCTCTCACTTCGCCTATGCTCACTTTGCCCTTCCCCCTCTCCTGCTGTGACTTGTTGTGCAGTTATGTTATATTGTTTCTGAATAAAAATCTAAACATTTTAATTTAAAACATTTCAACTTAGTTAATAAAAAGTATTTTTTATTTTCCTAAAATCTTTGTCTTGTGCTTTATTATGATCATAATCACAATCAACTAATTGAAATTCAGAAATCACAAAATCATTCAATGATCCTGACAATTAAAATTTTCAATTTTCATTCAAATTTGCATATTGCATTCACTTTATAAATTATGAAGCATTGCCCTGCCCGACACAAAAGCAGTTAAGCTGATTTTCTAAGTAAAAAAGTATCGTATCGCCAGTACTGGCCCTGTATTTACTTGGTATCGGGTCGATACCAAATTTTGCAGTATCGCATACCCCTAGCTAACGGATCATTAGATGTGATGGAATCCCGGTGATGTCACCTGCTACATGTGGCCCAACTGTTCTCCTCAACCTCCCGGTTTCTCCTCTGCAGCAGGGTGGCGAAGCAGTTGTGTGGCCGGCGCTGACTGGTTAACATGAGCTTGTCTAGCTGCTGCTCCGGCCTGGATCGCTTCTGACTGGTGGCCGAGTACTGCTGAAGCACATCCTGGTCCGATATACTTGAGTCTATGGGTAGAAAACGACAAGTACAGTGTACGTGTTAAACTATATGTAATATGAATAAGTTATTTACGTTCAATGTTAATTATATAAAATCTAGCATATTTTGTTTACATACATTTCTTTTTCTTTGCTATATTAGCCTATACACTTGCTGCACTGTTTTGTTTTGTTATTTCCCATTGTGTTTTTTGTGATTTTGCTTCCCTAAAGGACCAATCACAATACCTGAAGATAATTTCATTTCAGAAAAACAGCACAGTAGGGAAAATAAGCTTTAAAAAAAGAAGGAAACTTAAAATTCAATGTGTGTTAGGTCAAAATACAACTAACTCCATATCTCTTTGGGTACCTATTTTATTTATTAGGTTTTTTTTTAAATGTTTTCATTTTCTTGTGGGGAAATTTATTGCTTTCCAAACTAAATTTGTAAGTTGCAATTTTGCTTAAAATAAAAGTTACATGAAACCAGACTAATATATTTTCAGGGTGTAAATACTCTATAAAAATATTTAGTTCACTCATCAATAAAAACATTACAAATAACTGCAGTTCATGTTTGGTTAAAAAAAAGTGTTTACACTGGATTCAAAGTGAGCAAGCCACCAGAAACGTGCTGCACAACTTGGAAACCTCTAAATGTATGGCTAGGTGAACCTTTACAGAAAATCTGTCCACAGCATAGCTGGCCATTATTATCAGCCGTCATCAACCAGTCGGTTTCGTGCTCCAATGGATCAGTTTACAGCATGTACCTTGTCTTGGCCTCTTCACCTGCAGCTCTCTGCAGGGCAGCCTCAGACCATCCAGGCTGATGACTCTCTCCTTCCCCCTGGTGGAAGGAGGCCTTTCTGGAGATGCAGTAGAGCGCAGTGTGGCAGCCAAGGCTGGCTTGAAATCTCGACTCCAAATACTGGGCCCGGTGGGGTCTGATGAGGTGTTCCAGCTGTGGTTGCGGGGTTTAGACAGCTGAAAAGACATTTACAAAGGTGCTCTAAATTAAATGCAACTTCATTTTGGATCACAAAGACTAACTGATTACAATACCTGTGGAATGGGTTTGTCTGGGTTGAAGTCATCTATCCTCTCCATTGTGTTGAGATCAAGGTTTCCTAAAGCCATCTGCAAACCTTTGTCATTTCCTACATTACTGGGCTCAGTATCATCAAGGACAGAACTTACAATTTCCAATTTCAAGATTAAATATAACAAAAACTAACTACATTTACAACGGTGGCACATTAACAGGTGTGAGTCAAGGCAGGAGGATACAGTCCAGCGTAGGTGAGGGTGGTTGGGTCGATGTGCTCTGGGTACGGGTTGAGGGGTACCACTTTCCTCCTGACCGGATCAAAGACCAACTGGTAGAGGAAAGTGTTATTGGCTTTGACGAATCCTTCAATGTACTGTTCAGGAACAACTAGGTCCATCTTCAGGTACTGGCCCATCTTTCTGATCACCTGGCAATAGAGACATTTTTATGTTTTATAGCACTTGACTAAAAGTTATTTCAAAAGTTACATAGTTTCACTTTAAAACTGTTGATTTATGCAATGAGCCGATGGCAAGACAGGAAAAGATACTTGTCTATGTTGTCATCTGATGACCTACTTTCCCCCGCAGCAGATTTTATGTGCAGCCTGTGCTGCCATGTTGATCGATCCCTCTTAAAAGTGAAGCACCTTTGGAACCCCAAGTTTAAATAGTAGTTACCTTGCTAACAGAACAATTCACTTCAAGTGGTCTCACCTTGAGGATATCAGGGTCTTTGGCAAGCCGCAGAAGCTTGCAGGCCTTGCCCAGGCCGATGCCATGCAGCGAAGCCAGATAGTCACAGCCTGAGAGGATGCACATGAAGCGAAACTTCTCCTCGGTGAAAATGTTCCCCAGAGAGCGACAGCGGCCCAAGTTACTTTGGTCTATCTCCAGACCGTTGCCTTGCTTGTCCATTTTGAGGATCACCTACATAATTATGAGAGATGACTGATTTATGAGTTTGGCAATTGATTTATCTTTGGACAGTGTCTGATTTCTGCAAACACAAACACTGGCATAGTCTGTTGTTCCTCTCTCTCAGTGATGGGGCCTTTGCTCTTCCTACCCTAGTACACAAAGTAAGCACTAGTACCCATCTCCATCCATGCAACGTTTTATCTGGTTTGAATGCTAATAACACCATCTATCCCCATACAACATTCAGGCTTCCTCTATGTGTATATGTGGCTGGAAATGCAGCCTTGGGTCCAGGACTTGATACCTTTTTGCAGCCAAATGCCAGTAGGTCAGAGTCTTCTGTGATGACAGCCTGGGCCAAACCAGATTTAGTGAGGTAAGCCAACTGAGCGTCGGCTTCATATGGAGCTACCACACAGTCCACCCCTCTCGCCCTTGCAGCCTAGTTCAAGAAAACACAGACAGAAAGAAAAACATTTCCTGTTGTGCTTGGATGAGGTTTTTCCACCATGTTGCCAGGCAGCATACAGTACGTATCTCTGGGTTCAGACAACTAAATTAAAGGTTTTCAATGTGTTAGATCCCCCAACAGTTCGTTATTTACTGTGCATTTGGACATTAATATGGGGTTGTGCCTGTGCTTAAAAATGTTATGTTATGTCAAAACCGACGTGGTCACATTTTGTTTTTGCCTGCAGAATGACACATTAATGAACCAAAATGTTTTTTCCAGATGTTTATAAGACTGGCTCACAACAAAAAACTGAGGCATAAAAAAAAGAAAAAGTTATGGTGCCCATTAGCGTTTACACTACAAAAGACATGCAGTCAAATGTGTCCCAGGCCACATCGGCCAGTGGTTTCCATGATCGGATCACACTCTCTCTTGGTGGTCATCTACACTTGTATTTAGTGCTGTCCATTTGTGATCCAGTCACCCAGGATGCATTTTAAAACCATCTCTAAACAAGGTCAAAGAAAGTGTGAGCCACAGAACCCGTCAACATTTAGTGAAAATGAAGATGTCTCACCACAGGCCTTAAAGGATTCAATCTGCTGATCTCCTCACCTTAATGAGATTATGAGCCATGGCTGGTGTGATGTTAACACAGCGGTTGAAACAGTCTCTGGCTTCAGACAGTTTGCCTTCACGTAGGAGCTGTCGGCCTTTTCGAAGGTTGGATTCTCTGCGCCTAAAAGGCACACAAATGAAACAGGAATTAAAAATGGAACCCTTTGCACTGGGATCATAGTTTATATAGTCAGAATAAGTCACATGTAAAATGAGAGAAATATGGGTTGTCCTAAAACCGATGGCTCTGGACAATGACATTAACCTACAAAAACAACTTGCTAGATTAGTCCGAGATTTATTTTGTTTTATCCAAGGTTCAGGTGAAGGCAGTGAAGTTATAGCAACACTGCTGGAAAATTAGGACAGTCAGAAATATAACTCACCTTCCTTGTTAAGTACAGCTAGCTGTGCATGCCTTTGGTTCTTGGTATTCAAGCATTTGCATGTGAGGGGTTTTTCTGTCTCACCTGTCTACCAGTCTGAACAGCCCTCTCAGCACCTTCACATATAAACAATGTTTGGAATGCAGGCCTTCAAATAAACCGAGCATTGTCTGAGCGCGTTTGTTTGTAGGTATGAAAAAACACTGGATTGACTGGCAAAGTTGGGAGTCTGGATAACTATAGGCCAAAAGCTTTGGCCAGTGTTATATCTAAAGTTCTTGAGAAGATATTGCTTGATCGCCTGTGTCATTGTATAACAACCACATATAATCAGTTTGGTTTTAAATCCAAGCTGGGGACAGATCTGTGTATCTACAGTCTGAAGGAGGTAGCACAGAAGTACCT